TTTATTTGAGTAAATTCAAAAAGAAGAGAGAAAGAGAGAAAAAAACGACTAAAACAGCTTCTTTAAGTGCTGAAAGCCTTTTTAACCTACTACACAAAAATGTACAGTTAAAAAAAATGAGAATCATATTGTACAGATCTACGTGACCAGCACTCCTGAGGAAAATGACCAAGCAATGAGGAGACATTACTGAACAACTCTGTACAATAACATTTTCTGTAATGATATGAAACTGATGAGAGAGACTATGATAATAAAATCCTTGATCATTATATAAAAATATGCTTTGTAGAGTTTTCTTTACATTTTGAAATGAATGTTATACGTGTTTAAGTTTGGGTCATTTAACCTACACCGATACCAGCATCCAATATCACCTGATACCATGTGATGTAAGTCTACTACAGTGTAACTAATGTGATGCAGTAAATCCCACAGATGCTGAATCCATAGCTAGCTGAAATAAGCGTTATCCTCGCTGTGGCGATCACATGTTTACACTTACAAAAAGTGAGCGAGAGGATGGGAGAGAGAGAAAGAGAGAGAGAGAGAGACTGAAACTGCCAGCGCACTGGTCACTTTGGATAGCAGATAAAATGATAATATTTGTAGTGTAGACATAACAACGTCTGGTTCCTAGTACTATAATGGTAAACAATTTTGACCTCGTAAGTTTCTCTAGAAAGACGCATTTCATACTAAACCATTCTGAATGATTTTGTTTACATCTACACCATTCACATAGCTACAAAATCAATGGAGTTCTCATTTAATAACATATACCACAAAAAACTAACTTAACTTTCACATGGTGTAGCGCCAGAGAACTTGTAGAGAGGAGAATCACTGCTCTGTAATGTTATCTGGGTTTCTCAAACACTAGAGGGCGAGTCCAAAATGAACAGGGTTAAGATGGAGCATTTGAGCAAAATCATAGGTTATAAATGCTTAAACATTTTTAATGTAAAAATTAATTTCCTGAACTCTGAATATCATATCATTTTAACACAGTTGTTATATTTTAAAAAGCTTTTAAACTCGAGTTATAGGAGTTTAAAATGGGCCTCATGTACGTTCATGGCGTCAGCGAGCGCGAACAGCCAATTAACTGCTCTGCTCGCCAACCAATCAGCGCTCAGTAGCAGTAATGCCAGCGTTATGCTGCCCAAAACCCCTTTACTGTAGAAAATAGGAAACATATAGGTAAGTTATCTTTTGCTTTTTTTAGTAAAATACATCCTTCTATTTTCTAAAATTAAAGGAAAGCTCTCGGCAAGTGATTAGAAACTATTTTAACTATTACTATTAGTGATTAGAAACTATTTTAACTACCACTATTTTGGTTTTAAGCGTTGAGCTCCATGGGCGCTCTGCTGTTTTGCCATCATGTTTTTGATATAACTAGGGAAACAGGAAGAGGCCAGACTCCTCTGGTAGCACTAACATGATGCAGTAAATCCCACAGATGCTGAATCCATAGCTAGCTGAAAATAGCAGTATCCTAGCTGGGGCAATCACATATTTACACTTACAAAAAGTGAGTTTCTACATTAAAGTCTGCTACTTAATTAAATATACGGCAGAAAAAGGTCCAAGAACTAACTTGACTATCACATGGTTTGTTTTATGTTGGTACAGTTTGTGCTAGGTAAGCTAGCATGCAGTTAGATAGCTAGCAAGTATTAGCTGACTTTAAGCAATGTTAACTAACTGTACCACTAGTTCTAAAGTACAACTTAAAGTAAAAACTTGTTGCATTTACCCTGATTCACAGCTATAAACACCCCTCCGACAGCTCTTTTAACATCTAAATAATTAAATTGCAGTGAAGATAATGGTTAAATGAAACAACTTTATTGATAACTGTTCGTAGACAGAGCTTTCTGTAGAGGCTGCGTTTCATATTTCAATCAGACCAAGAATTTTCATACAGTGTGAGTTTATAGGCTTTGTCCGCACACAATAGACTATTCAGACATACAGTATGAGTCACCAAAACCAAACCAACCACCAAATAAGACTTCTAAAATGGCACAGAGTGTGTCTGGCTTTAGAGGACATTCAGCTACAGCTTAACCAGCCAAACAACAAGACATAAAGCTTGAAATGTGAGCTCCTCAGCTGTGTTACCCTTGGATGTGATTCCTGCTGTCACTGTGTTACAGAGACTGTTGTTGAAAGAGACAGATGAGGATCAAAACTATGAAAAATACCCCAGCCAACATTCCACACAGGCCCCACATGGGTTAACAATGGGCTGCCAATTTGGCCCAGATCTGTCCATTGGCTCCATGTGGGCCTGTGTGTGTTAGCCCATGTGGGCAACTAACGGGGCCAAGCAGGGCTGCACATGAGGCCAATTTGGGCAAACATCTACTGGACCTGCACGGGTGCCTTATTGTATCCCCCTAAATGGGCTAATGATGGGGCAGAGGTGGGCTACAAGTGTGGCCCTTATGAGCAATATGGACAGTAAACCTGGATCCCAAGTGAATTATAACGTGTATTTCATACAGTTATCAAAAACCAACATGCTGATTTCTGTGATATTTTACATTGCTGCAACCCATTCACACTGTAATTACCCACAGCCATCACTTTTCAATCATATGATGAATTCTAGAAGTCAGTGTACTAACTAAGCCAGTGTACTTTCATACCATGAATTCATTTATTTATTATGTTCAATTTGACAACAAAAAACACTATTTACCACAAAATTTAAAATACTTTCACAGGGTGCAGAGTCTGCTGTATCATGTATTATAAAAAGTATTTTTTATGCATTATTAAATCAGCTTTAAAGAGCAATGTAGTGAGTTACCACACTGCTTTAAGGTGTCTACTTTAAGATATCTGCAAGTATCAACTAATTAGATTTAAGATTTTTTTAATTCACAGTTTAAAGTGGATTAAATGGCTTAGAGCCTGTAATTTTAGGAATTTTTTTTTTGTGAACGCACAACTGCTGAGCTTTTAATTATATATTTTTTTATTTATGTGTAAGTATTCTAAAAGTATTCTCCTAAAAATGTAAAAGCCCACAACATTAACCCAACTGGGGGCCCACATCTGTAGCCTAACTGAGCTCCATAATTTTAACCCAACCGGGACCCACAACTGAAACCCACATGGGGTCCATGACTGTAGCCTACCTGGGGCCAACAGCATTAACCCACTTGGGGCCCATGACTGAAACCTAACTAGGGCCAAAGGCTATAACCATTTGGGTTACACAAACAGCCTATCAAAAAGCCCACTACAAGCTCATTTCCAGGTAAAACCCACATGGACATGTTAGCTGGGCCTTTACTTACAGCTGTACAGAAGTGCTTTTTTGATGAGGAACAAAACCCACTCTTCCCCACTGCAGCGCTACTCGGTCCAAGGTAACCAGTGTAGCAAAGCTAGCTAATGTCACTCAAAGTCAACCAGATTTTAATGAATCAACCAGATTTGGCTGAATCAGACTCATTTACACCAACTACTACTTTATTCTAAGTCGGTTACTCAGTATGGTACAGTACTCGGCATTGGCAAGTATTAGATTAAAAATTTGTACTCGTGCTCAGTCTGAAAAAAAGTGTTACCTGGCAGAGGTAGAGCCATATGCAAGAAATTGAACACCCCACCTCAATTTAAAATGTATTTTATTTTTCCCAATTTGTAAAATTTAATAAATAAACAGTTATTGCACATTAAAATGTGCATAAATGTGTTCACTGTAGAGGATATTTTCACTTATGTTTACTTAGAAAATCAACAAAACACGGAAATGAACCCAAATTTTTGCATGCAGCAGTATATCCTGGGTAAAGACACAGCGTTTTCATGAAGAAGCCACAGGGTGGCGCCGTGGAGCTCTATGGAATTCATCCTCCACTATACTGCTTATCCGCTTCGCCCTTTGGATTTTTCCCCACCTGTATTCCGACAAGCCCCGTCCTCCTGCAATACGATTGGCTGGTATTCCTCGTTACAAAGCCCGTTACTGTAGAACGCGCTGTTGTGACGCCTTTCAGACGATAGAAGTGGGTTTAAAGGGGAATTCCACCAATTTTCCAAAATTACTGCTTAATTTTTTGACTTTGTAAAGTCATTCAGAGTAGTTTGATGTGAAATGGTAGATTGTAGAGTCTCAGATTTATTTACAGTGGTGGTGATAGGAACCAGGGGTCACCATCACTACAACACAGATATAGTCATCTAAATTTACTATCCAAAACCACCAGTGAACCTACACGCATCTTCTGAGTTTTTATATGGAATCGTTAATGATGGTAAAATAGTGGAAACTCAGAAAAAAATAGTTTTCTTCAGGGACACAACACCCTATGTACCCTGCATAAATGGATAAAAATAAATGGATTAAAAAACATTTTAACCCAAAACTTTATCACAACACTACCCTAAAACAATGTCTCAGACATCAGGCAGTGTATTCATAATCATTTCATGTAATGACTTCCTGTGGTGGAGTTTTTAGAGGTGGACGTCTGGTTCCTATCACCACCACTGTGAACAATTCCAACTCGGCAAGTTTCTCTCAGTACACACCAGACCACCCTGAATGACTTCTGTTCTGTACCACCTTTCTGAAAAGGGTTCTGAATAGTACCAAAAAGGGTCCTGCTCTTGTTACAATGTCAAGCCTGTAACAATAGAAGAACTATTTTTGACCATATACAACATATTCTCCACCAATCTGAAGAACCATCTCACCATGCAAAGTATATTTTAGGTATGCAAATGGTTATTTGAGTGTTCATGGTTCTATATAAAATCGTCTTTGCTAGAAAGAAACCCTTGAAGAAGCATCTTTTTAAGAGTGTAGAAGTTTTGAAAAATCGGTGGAGTTTCCCTTTAACATTCTAGCCCATCAGCCAATGGTAGCGCAGAAGGCGGGACTCTGTTAGCCAATCCCAGGGCAGAAGGGGCGGGCCATTCCGGAATACGGGTAGGAAAAAATAAACCGTCTCCTCCTCGGGGCGAGTGGAAGTTTTACTCTCATTTACCTCAGGGGAGAATAACGTACTCAGCTGTACTGGGGTAGAAGAACAACGCGGTTTTGGAAAGTGGCCATTTTCACTGTTCACTGCACAGATAAAAAGGAAAAAGATCTGCTTGTGGAGAGTCCAAAGGGTGAGTAGCTTTAAAGGAGCTTGTAGGCTTTGTGCTGAGTTTCTCACACAAAGCTGAAGTTGGCTGCTTATTCAAATTTCCCGTTCCACCTTAAATGGTGCAGCAGTTAAAAAGCTTTAAGGTGGAACGGAAAATTCGAAAAAGAAGCCAACTTCAGCCTCCTGTTTCTCACACGTCCTCGGTTTAAAAGTGTCTATTTTGTTATGGAAGATGTTTTATGGACATTTATCTGCCTCTGTGGTCATGTTTGCTCACCAAAGCTGTCTGGCTATTTGACTAAAGCCGTATATACAGCTAACGCCTGATGCTGCGTTGATGTGAGCTGAATAAGGACCAGGGCTGCACGATACGGACAAAATAACCGTACCGCGATTATTACTGATAAATATTCACACAATACATAACAGTATTTACAGTATGGCTGGATAATATGGCAGTATTTCACTTTATCATGATAAACTGTCATAATTTGTCTCGGTATGCTTTTCTGAGCCCATTGTTGATAGTGTCAGTACTCACAAACACTTTCCAACTGCATGTTTGATTAAGAGGAGAGCACAGTTAGTCCTGTGTAATTGGATTTAGTGCAGTATAGTGTGTGAAATGTTGAATAATAATCAATGGATTCATAGTTTTTGATGGTAATTTTTAAATGGGACTGTTTTAACTAATCAGGTGTCAGAAAAAATAAATCTAGTGACATATTGTGTATCGTGAAATATGATACTTCTACTTTACAGCGTACAATCTTAATAAAGATGGATCTTCAAGGGTTCTTTAGTAAAAGGAATGGTCCTTGTAGAACCATGAACACTCAAACCCTCTGCATGATTAAATTGTCCGTTGCATGGTGACAGTGTTCTTCAGATTGATGGAGAATAGTTGTATATGGTTCTATATAGCACCAAAAAGGTTTCCGTTACTGTTGCAAGCTTGGCATCGTACCAGCAGAAGAACTTTTTTGGTGCTATATAGAACCCTTTTGAAAAAAGTTCTGTGTAGAACCATATACAACACATTCTCCATCGATCTATAGAATGATTTCACCATGCAAAGAACTATTTAAGCATGCAGATGGTTCTTTGAGTGTTCATGTTTCTGTATAGAACCACTGTGTTTATTAAAGAACCTTTGAAGAACCATCTTATTCAAAGTGTATATTAGCCTCACAGATCAAGTGTAAAACTCAAGAGTTCCTTAGAAAAAGAAACTGTTCAATATAGAACCATGAACACTCAAAGAACCATTCGCATGATTAAATGGTTCTTTGCATGGTGAAGTTGTTCTTCAGATTGATGGAGAATGTGTTGTATAAGGTTCTATATAGCACCAAATGTGTTCTTCTATTGTTATGGTGTCAAGCTTGTAATAATAGAAGAACCTTTTTGGTGCTATGTAGAACCATATACAACACAGTCTTCATCAATCTGAAGAACAGTTTCACCATGCAGAGAAACATTTCAGCATAGAATGTTTCTATGTAGAATTATTTCCTAAAGAACTCTTGAAGAACCATCTTTTAAGTGTTTAGGCTTGTCTACCCTGTTGGTCTCTGAAGGTCAGGGTCAGGATTATCTCCATCTGAAAGTGTAAATGTTGATCTTACTGCTAAATAACACTGATGACTGGGCTCCCAGACCCAGATTAAAATCTAAGCCTGGACTAAATGGGATTTTCAACGGCTTTGCAGTTTAGTCCTAGACTAGCTTTAATCCCTGACAAGAAACCAGCCCTTTGTCTTAAGTTTCAGACATGAACAGTTTTTGGAAAAATTTTGTGTAATAAATCAGTTTTTTTAAAATGAGTCCCTGTATTAGGCTTCTCTGTCCCCTTAGCCACGCCCCCACCACAGAGACTTTGAGGTTCCTTTTACAGGAGGACATTAATTTGGTTCCTGTGTTCATAACAAACCTGCTGCAGTTACGCTGAAGTGCGTTAAATGCAGAATAAATTTTGAAGTTGGCGAATGCGAAGCCAACATCAGCTTACCTCAATAAATGATCCTTAATCAACAAATACCTTAAACTTTTGCTTGGAAATGTTTACTGAGCAGCTAATGCCGCGTCCCAAACCACACACTTCAGTACTTCACCCACTACACTAATGAGTGCACTTCTAATGGGTTATACAACATTTTACACACTTCTTATTTTGCTTGTGTGCAGTTTGGGACTTGGAAGTAATGCAGTGGGAAATCTCGGCTGTTTAAATTTTAGCTTCATTTGTTATCACTACAGGATCAAATCAAATGAAATCAAGTCAGTGCACTCAAATACACTAGTTAATACACTTTAAAAGTGAGATTTAAAGAAGTGTAAAAAAAAAAAAAAGTGTTTTACTGCCTTTGCTGGATCAGTTATGTTATGGCTTTGTTATCTCATTATAAACCATCGCAGCGCTGCTGATTGAACTTGACGTCGCCTACCAAAATGGTGGCAGCGCGATTGTGACGTCATCAGAATACTATCAATTCAGCTACAGCAGTTTTGCCCCACCCGTTCACTCTGGAGAGTGTTTCAGGCCAAACTGCTTTCTGAATGAGACGCAGTACAAGACGGCCAATCAGGACTTAGCTCCTTTACATATATTGGCCTTAAATGCATGACAACAAAAAACAGCCTGTTGAATTCTAAGGGTTAATGAGAGTTTGGAAAAGTGGTCATGTACAAATGAATTGTGTCTGTGATATGTAAATGCACACAAATCTAACGAAAGGGACATGGATGAAAAAAGTGAATCAGGAGGTTTTGGGGTCAAACCCACCCCAATCCTAAACTGTGCCTTATTTATCTTATTTATGTGCCATTAGCACATAGAGCCACTGTTTACAGCTTGAGTCCCTTATGATAAGAACACCTACACTCTTAAAATAGATGGTTCTTCAAGGGTTCTTTAGTGAAGAAAATGGTTCTATATAGAACCATGAACACTCAAAGAACCCTTTGCATGATTGAAGGGTTCTTTGCATCATGAAAGGGTTTTTCGAGTTGATGGAAATTGTGCATGAATGTGTTATAGACAGTTCTATATAGAACCTTTTTGAAAGGAATTCTGTATAGCACCCAAAACGTTTCTTTTATTGTTACAAGCTTGACACAGTAGCAATAGAAGAACCTTTCTGGGTGCTATTTAGAACCATTTTCAAAAAGGTTCTACTGTCTGTAGCACATAGAGCAACAAGGCTAATGTGGCCAACAAGTAGGGTTGGGTGATATGACGATATGATATAATCATCACGATTTATACAAGTTATACATTTTTTTTAAAGCTTACGATAAGCTTTAGAGGAGACCTAAAGATTTCTGTAAAAAAGTTTGTAATTTGTTATTCTTTTTCATTTAATAGTCACATTACAAATGGTATTTTCATTCGTGTTGTATTTAAACTCTCCAAGCATTGTAGTACTCATACTCTCATTTTATTCTTAGGTTTTGGTTGGAAATAAAAGGGTTAAAATCTTTACTCCCAGCTGGAAAATTGTCCAGTCAGTGGTCAGGACTTTAGGAGCTGGACGCTGGACTGAAGGCCTAATGCATCAGATTAATTACCAACATAATTTATAATTAGGAAGTTACAGAAGAGTAAACCAGTCATGTTTTGATTTACAATAGGAGTGCTTTGTGGGGAAAAAACATCACTCAAATCTTACTGAAAGTTCTAGATACCTTACTGACTGATTACGAGCTGTAATCTAACCAGGTTTCAGTTAGTTGTTCGGAATGTAAAACAGCGGCGGCAGAGCTCTTTACTGAAAAAGTCACTGTAAAACTGGTACAAGGTAAAATATGTGCTTATGTCTATTACAAGCTTCAAATAAAACATGGAATGCTTTTACAAGCTTCAAAAGTCCACATCTAAAGTCAGGCTGAATGTTTTTACCTTGTTAGTTCATGTCCTTGGTCAAATTAAGCTCAGTGTCATATCATCAGTCATCTTTATTGAAGTATAGTGACTTTCACCACCTCTAAATGCCTTCCGACGTTTTTTTGTGTCACTGTGTTCCGGCAGCAAGAAAAAGTATTCTAACCAGTAAACCAATAATATCTTAGCATGTTTTCCCTCCCCCCTCCCTCCACCCTGACCAATCATTGAGCGAAAACACCCGTCATCACCGTCACTCCAGACTGCACATACATGTGTGTCAGCTAGTCCAGTTGGTCAGGCTGCTGCAGACGACCTCCTGCACAAGCACTGCGCTCTGTCTTTTCAGTCTCCTCACTTGATTTACTCGCTCACTTACATGTTTGGTTTTTGGACACATTGTAAAATAATCACTTATCAGTTATTTCAGTTACTTTACGCTGGCGACTCGTGTTCATGAGCCAGACTGCTCAAATATCTAGCTGTATTTGCACTGTATTCACCTTGCATTTGGACACTTATACACCTATTTATTTTATTGATAACCCGATTGTCTTTTTTTCTCTTTAATTTGCAGCAAAAGCGTAAGAAAAGCAGAAGTGGATGGTAAAAGGCTAGCCTGCAAATGGGTGTTTTTACCAAATCTACATCTTAAAAAGTAAAAGAAAAACATTAAACATCAAGATTTCAACAAGTTACGAATCTCGTTTCAGACAATGCACATCAAATTTTTAACAAAACAGTCAATATTTATTTATTTGTTTATTTATTAAATATCTTTAGTTTTTCTACAAAACAGACAGATTCTGCTGACTGTCAGAGCATAACGGTCTAACATACTACTACTACATACTACTAAAATCCCCTAGGGGTGCTAGTAGAAATTAACATTATGGTAGGCATGGGATTTTTCTCCTTTTGAGAAGGAGAGCTGAAGGCCTAGTTTTAATAAATACAGTTCTGAGCGTAAACTTCCACTTGTTAGCTACATTAGCCTTATAGCTTCAGTGCTAAAACTATAGAAGTAAACTTCAGATTCTAAACACGTCCTGACAGATTGACTATATTTGAGGTAAGAGGGGAATTCTAGTGTGATTATATGACAGATGTGCTGCTGTATGTGTTTATTGTTAATGTGTGTGAGTGTACAGTAATGGAGTGACGGTTGAATAAATGCTGTGGGCAGATTTAGTGATTCTGGGTCTCTTAAGACAGGAATGGGGTCACCTGGTTGCACTTTTTTAAATGATTTGGGGCTCTGCTCTTGAGTACATTGAAAAAATGTTTTGACAAGTGAAATAATCTTAAATCTAGTTAATATTTCTAACTTTTAGGCAGTCATAAGAGTATTATAAGATTATTTCATTACTTCTAGACATTTATTATTCGTTTAAGTAATATAATCTTGCTATATTGACAGATAATTTAGCTTGCTTTAAGAAATATGCTATATCTGACAATGTAGTGAGATAATTAAGTGCAGAGTACAGTAGACATTAAGTAATGAATGGTCAGATTATGTGGATTATCAGTTAATTGCCTTCTTCAAACCGGTTTGCATTGAGATGATCTGAACATAATCACTACAGTTACAAATAGCAGTTATTTTTATAATGCATATATATTTTGGAACAGGTTTTTTAGCATCAACCTGTGCAGTATATCTAATTTGTATTTCCATGGGGGTCCTATGTGGCTGTCTACCTTTGCCTAGCACACAGTCCGCCCCTGGCTGTGGGACAGATGGCTGTCTTCGCTGTTTGTTAGCCACCTGGAGATTTAAACAGAGCTAAACGCCTGGCTGGACGTGGGTGGGGGCAGTTGAAGAGCTGCCAGATATGATTAGCTTTTCCTGGAGAAGAAGGAGGAGGAGGTGGCTAAGTGACCAATGCGGTGTCCAGCATAAAGAGCCCGGGGATTGCTCTCACTTTCAGCCTTTAACACGGCCAGCTTTAACTGTCCTCACCCACGACCTGTTTTGGAGTGGACACTGACCAGAGGCACTTCCCTCTCTGAGTCTTAGGTGTCTTATAATATGACATGTAAAGCTGCTTATCTGGGCAGTAAGCATTTATGTGTTAAACGCTACTATTCAAATAAATACAAATTCTGAATTAAATTATGATTGTTCTGTCTGTTTTAGTTTAACCTTTGTCAGATTTCTCATTGATTAAGTCCAGTATTTACAGCTACCGTCCAGTGCCTAGTTTATTTAGTCATTCATTAAATCAGGTGCTGCTGATGGAATTGAACAAACCCATGCGATGGCTGGAGCACAGCAAGAAGTCAGGAACCAAACCGGTGCTCTTCTAACTGTATTCTTCTAACAGATTCATAACTTTACTGAAAACAACACATTCTGACTACTGACTACTGTATTTATGTTTACCTGTAATGCTCTAATGTTATATAATGTTTTACAGGCAAAACTACACTTAGGACCCAGATAAATAGTTCTTAACAATTTGGCTGCCTCAGACTTTTGCACAGTACTGTTTATACATTGCCTTGCAAAGGTATTAAAAGTAATCAAATTCATCTGTATTACAAATGACGCTTTCATATTTTGTGCTGCATCATATTTTATTTTAGAATATTATCCCTCAAAATTAATGAATTTAAAGTGATATTGGTTTTATGTATGAAAATATTCTTTGAAAAAAATTGCTAACTGACAAATTCTCTTTCTGTAAGTATTCAACCCCTGAGCTATGCAAACTCTGAGTTTACATGGATGAAAGATATTGGCCTAACGAGGACACAACTGGCCTTTATTTGTGAATCATCAAAAAAGTTTTATGTTTTATGGATAAAAGACCCCCTAATTCACGTACCTTTGATCAAACTGTGAATCTGAAGGAAAGAATACTCATGCAAGCAGCATTTTTAAGTTTTTAATTTTTTTAAAGATTTGCTGACAAATAATTAATTTTGACTTTGAAAACTTATTTTAAGAGTGTATTGGTTTGCAATAAAAAAAAGTACTGGCTGGGAAAACCTGAAGCTGATAGCTTTTAGAAGGGTTGAATACTTAGGCAAGGCACCGTATATTAGAGATGACCTTTGCAGTAGAAATTCTCCAAAATTACATGGAAAAAAGCTTGTTACATTAACTTCCCTTAGGTAAGTCAAGAACGTTTTTTGCTTCTTCTGTAAAGTTACATTTTGGAGAGGTTATGTTCCAACGTTAACTGTATATATATATATATATATATATATATATATATATATATATATATATATATATACACACACACACACATACAGTTAATGTTCATTATTATTACATGCACAACAGCATTAGAATCAACCATACAGGTTAAACGCTTTTGTGAAAAGCTGGTATTAAAATAAATAGAGGAAACATGGCAGTAATCTGGAAGAGGGAAATGGTTTGCGATTTAAGCTAATTCACTCATATAAAATTCCACCAAATCCTTCAGTCGCTGCTCTGTCTGATAGTCATACAGCCAAAGCGCTTAATCCAGATTAATACTTGAACATCCTTTAAATAGACTGTAATCCAGAGCAGTTGCAGGTCAGGTGCCGTAACCGGGCGGTGCTGTAGAATCAGCGTGGAGAGCACTGAAGGGATTTAAAAGAGCAGGAGTTGGCCTGACTGTCCAGGTGACCAACGTGGCATTTATCAGCTTTACTGCAGCCTCAGGAGCTAAAGAGCAGGTGAAGGCAGAGAGGAAGAGGATGGAACAGAGTGTCTAATGAGTTTCAGTTTTATGGCACAAACATAATTTTTTACAACCACAACTTTACTGAACTGTGGCTTTTATTATCTTTTTTTTTCACAACTCACACATGCTACGCTAATAACTTTATTATTTCATTATTACTATTTTATTATTTTGTCTTTTATTTTGTTGTTTTTGTTGCTATTATTGCTATACTGACATGTTTTAGCCATTTATTGTGGTTATTTTCCACACGGTTACCCGAGTAAGAGGATTCTGTTATTGGCACTTTTTTGTAGTAATTGTTTTGATGTAGTTTATGTAATATTTTTTATTGTTTGTAGGGATACACTCATATGAAAATGTGTTTACATACTACAACACAATTAGAGGGGGATTCCACATATTTTTCTTAATGTCTGCATAATTCAGTGGTTACAATGTAAACAAAGTCATTCAGAATGGTTTGGTGTGAAATGGTTCATTGAAGAGAAACTTACTGATTTAGACTTCATAACAGTGGTGGTGATAGAAACCAGGGATCAGGATGTCTACAAATATACACGAATATAGCCAATGTATTTACTACTAAAAAAATATAATATGGGTAAATCTGAAGGAAAAAGTTTTTGGGGGGACTGTTTGAGAAATATTCTGTATGTTTTAGGCCAAAATCTTCTCTAAACTATCAAAAAAGAGTCTCAGACATCAGGCAGTGTATTTATAGCCATTTCATGTAATAACTTTCTGTGCTGTGGAAGCTTTTAGAGGTGGAGGTCTGGTTCCTATCAGTACCACTGTAAACAATTCTGACTCTCTAGAACAGAGCATTTCACACCAAACCTCTCTGAATGGCTTTGTTAACATTGTAATTATTGAATTGTTCTGAATATCTGAGATTTTATATTTTGTCTGAAAACTGCTTTGCTCATCCCACTGATAAACAAACTCTAAACATCCTTCCGTACTGTTACCTTTCTGATTGTGTCTTCTATATGTGTTTCAGAACATGTTCATCTTCCAGATAAAAGAGCATCGGTGGCTTCTTATCTGATCCATCCAAAGTTACCATCATCACCCATGTAGCCTCGTCCACACGCAGCACAGCCATGATAACCGCACACATGAATGGTTATGTGGAGAATTTTGAAGCATTAGACAATTCAGAGAAAGCCCACCAGCTCAGAGACATGGCCGTGGAGTGTCCCAGTGAAGCAGTTTCACCTCCTGGACTCCAGACCCGCTGCAGCAGCAAGATGGAACGGATCCAGAACTACCAGGAGGAGCTGAGGAAGAAGAGGGAGGAGGAAGGGCGCTATCGGAACCTCAACACCAAACTGAACACGTCCTCGCATAAACTTAATAAACTGTCTCAAAGCCCCAAGATGGGCATTGAAAACCCCACATTCGAGAAAGCAGAGACCCCAAAGCAGAGCACACCGGATCAGGAGGCAGCGGTTAACACTGGTGAGCTTTGGAAGCTGGTCAGTCCAGCAGATTTTGGTGAAATCATTTCTTCAAAGATGTGCATATCCCCAACCACCTCCACAACTACCCCCCACCACCACAACCATCACAACTGCTAATGTAGTCAGTCACCTAAGACGTGCTTGGTGTTTGAGGTTTGCTTCTTTAGTTTTACACTTGATCTGTAAGGCTAATGTACAATATTAAAAAGATGGTTTTTCAAGGGTTCTTTAGTTAGATTCTATTTAGAACTAAAACAGTCAAAGTACCCTTTGCATGATTAAAGGGTTTTTATATGGTGAAATGGTTTTTCAGACTGATGGAGAATGTGTTGTATATGGTTCTATTGACCCTCTTGAAAAATATTCTATATACAACCATCAACAGCACATTCTCCATCACACCTTTTTAAGTGTGTAGCTAATGGATTAGTACTAAGGCTTGGGATTTTCCTGTATTTTCCTGGTGTTTGGTCATCCATCTCAGTTCCCGTTCCTGGACACAAAATGTGAGCATTTCTTATGAAGTTTAATGTGTCTTTTCATGTAATCAGACCATTCCTATACCAATAATTCACATAGTCACTCTAGGTAGGGATAGTGAACATTAAGTACTGACCCCCAGAAATCAGGTAATTGATCATCCAGATAGATTCTGAGGTGTCAAGTCTGTTTATCATCAGTTATCATGTTGCTAACTGCATGCTTAAATCATCAAACACTTGACTCTCAGTAATCTCTTATAGACCTGATTATGTGGTTTCTGTCACTGTATGACACACTGTTATCTATAAACATGGACCAAACTTTGTTGCATAGCTAAGAATATTTAATTTTGTCTGCACATTTGTCCTTTTCTATAGACACACTACCTTCAAAAGTTTGGAATCAATTTTTAAAATTTTGGAATCAACAAAATTAATTTGGTTGTATATAATGACTGTAATATGTGAGTCCTGTACAACTTCACAGGTTCAGATGATTAGTAGGACTCTAGCTGAAAATCATTGATAAGTAATAATTAAATTAATATTCAGATTATTCATGTTTCAAAAGCGGAGATCAAGCCTCAAAACACAACAATACTGTAGAAGGATGATTACCACATATTGTTTATCATATGATTCAATTCTTGTTAACTGCATTATTGTGGTACTAAGTAAAACATTTAAAATAACATTTTGGTGAATAGTTTGTAATATTTAAATACACATAGTATTCATTCTTATTGTATAGAAAATAACAAAAATTGTTAATATAGTAAGCTGTTCCAAACTTTTATTGTAGTGTATAGTTTATTGTCTTGGCTGATCATCTACTTTTGGGGTAAAAGGAACCCCCAGAAAAAAATTTGCATGTTAAAAACTGATTTAAATAATACCAACTATAGATACATTACATAGTGAATTCACAGTGTCTGTGAAAATGTGAAAATGAAGTTTAGTTCCTTCTCTTTCTCACAGTATATTAGGCAGTCTAAAGACAGTGCCTTTATAGCACCATTAGAGAGAGTTTTACTGCTTTAAATGGGTTTTAACAATGACCCCAGTCTGATTTGTTGGATGAGCTGGTCAAATGATGGGAAGTTAAAGACGACACACAGGATCTGAGCTGAAAGAGGGTCAGAAGTTCAGTGTAATTATTGTCTATATGTCCTCATCCCTGTTATCCTTCATTTCTTCCATCCACTTTCTCTCTCTCCCTCTCTTTCCCTTTTCCAGAATAGGGTGAGTCCGTCCATCCTGGTGTAGATATGGCTTTTCTTTGCTGTGTCATCCATTTAATTAGACATAATTCATATTGGGCTGCCTCCCTTGTTGTGCATGACTTGATAAACATTTGTCTTTAAGGAGATATGACATCTTTGCAAACCTAGATGGTCTGCACTGGAGACTGGAGTCTCTCAAACCGTGTGAAGTTGTTGTCTAGTAGGTGTAATCTTTAATAGACTTGCTTATGTGGTTTCTGGCACTGTATGGCGTACTGTTATCTATAAACGTACAAAAAATTCAGGCTTCAGCATGGCTGCTACTCCTTTTTTGAGCTACACTGTATATACACTGTACACTCCTCCTTATCATTGAGTTCAAGTGTTTCAGCCACACACACTGGTAGCAGGTGTAAAAAATCAAGCACATAGCCATGTAATCTCCATAGACAAACACTGGCAGTAGAATAAAAGTAAGCGTGGCACTATCATAGGTTGCCACCTTTGCCACAAGTCAGTTTGTGAAATTTCTGTCCTGCTAGATCTGCCCCAGTCAACTATACGTGCTATTATTGTTAAATGGAAGCATGAAGAGGTAGGCATGGCCGAGAAGCTGCACACAAGCCTAAGATCGCTATGCGTAATGCCAAGCATCAGTAGGAGTGGTGTAAAGCACACCGCCAATGGACTCTGGAGCAGTGGAAACAAGCAATTTGATAGATGAAGCTGGGTTTGGCGGACGCCAGTAGAACACTACCTATCAGAATGCACAGTGTCAACAGTAAAGTTTGGAAGAGGGGGAATAATGGTTCCGGTGAAGGTTAATGTTAATGCATACAAAGACATTTTAGACAATTATTTGCTTCCAAGACCCTTTTCTGTCCCAGCATGACTGAGCCACTGTGCACAAAGCGAGCTCCATTAGAACATGGTTTGATGAGTTTGATGTGGAGGAACTCCAGACCTCAGCCCCACTGAACATCTTTTGGGATGTCCTGGAATATCAATTGTGAGCCAGGCCCTCTTGTCCAACATCAGTGTCTGACCTCACATATGCTCTTTTGACTGTATTGGCACACATTCCCACAGACACACTCCAAAATCTTGTGGAAAAGCTTCTCAGAAGAGTGGAGGCAGTTGTAAAGGAGAAAGGTGGCAACTCCATATTAATGGCCAAGTGTGATGGTCATAATGTTGGCCAAACAGTGTGTATGGTGTACTTCTGTCTATTTTTATAGATGCTCTGGACATATGTCTTGGCTGATTGGCTAGATTTTGAGTAAGGGTTTAAAGGTGCTTTAAAGATGTAACATTCAAGAAGTTTGCAACAGTAAGTTAAAAAGCTCTGTTGTTTTCTCTTTCTCTCTCTCTCTCTCTCTCTCAGAGTTGGACGACCTGCTCCAGTCTCTACAGCATGTGCGGTACAGTCTGAGTGATGCTGAGAGTCAGGCGGATGTGCAGGTGGTAATGGAGCTTCTGCAGCAGAGTGAATTCCAGCAGGCGTTCAGCATGCACAGCACTGTGGCACTCGGTGTCAGAGCCATCAACCCACCGTATCCCATCACTGCCCGCGCTCAGCACCTCTGCTATGAGGTACAGCTTCTATACACCTACAACCAAGACAAATAAAGGACAGTCAGTGGGTGACATTCAGGGCTTTCTAGGATTAATTATTTCTAGAAACAGAAAAACACATGTCTGTAATTTTAAGTTCATTTTTATTTAATATAACAGTCCTGCTTGTTGTATTTAAACTCTGCAAGAACTGTAGTTATATTCATATTTTATTGTTGCATTTTGGTTGGAAACCAAAAGGTTATCACCTTGAAATACTCAACGAAAAATTAAACAATCAGGATTATTTTCTCTATGGTGTCTAGGTAGATACAGCCAAGCGAGCTGTCTCATTGGTTAGGGCTTCAGGAGCTGAACTGAAGGCCTTACACATTAGATTAACTACCAACATAATAAAGGAGTGATCAACTAATCCCATTTTGATTTACAGTAGGTGAGATAAATTGTGAAGAAAAAGTCCAGGCCTTCTGGAAGTTCTGGACAGGTCACTGACTGTGAATACATGCTGTAGTCTAACCAGATTTTAGTCAGTTGTTAGAAATGGAAAACCGCTGCAGCAGCTCTATACTGGTCACTGTCAAACTACTACAAGGTCAAATACATGTTAATGTTTGCCACAGGCTTTAAATAAAACATAGCTGTCTTTTACAGCTTCAAATGTCTGAGCTTTAATCCAGAACAGCCAAAAAATGTTCATGTGCACCAGTGTTAGCTTAGTACTAACATCCTATTAAAAACCTCCCGGTGCACGAGCAGAAATCAGTATCATCCTAGAGGGGTTTTTATTGCTTTTGACAGAATTTGTTTTTTTACGGACTTTTGGGGGCCGAATTTTTAAGCCCTTGCTCTAACACTGAAAACAGTTTTTAGATATTCTAAAAATTTATCAGCACAATTAATACACAGTCAGTGTAATCACTGTCTTACAGTCAGTTTACTGGATGAACGACAATATATAATCTGGTGTTTTGCACAGCCCTTCCAGCTTCGTCTTTGCCCTTAATCTAAATTGTAGAAAAAAAAAAACATTATAATGTGAGAAATAAAGATATGTTTAGGTACTTTATCAAGGCTGTCAAGCCAGGTACCTTTTTCAAAACCAAAAATAATGGCTGACAAAGCTGTTTATAAGCTATAGTAGTAACACTACTTTAAACTGCTTAACATTTTAAATAATAACATTTGATTTGCTGGGCCCACTACTCCATCTGTTACACATGACTGCTAATACAACTTGATCACTTGTTTTTTTTTACCACACCACAGCTCACAGCCAGACAAAGCAATTAGTCACAAATTATTGTATTCAAACTTCTCAAAACTTCTCAAAAAACTGTGACATTAGCTCACTGATGCTAACCGTGCTGAGGGTGAGGGCTTTCTGCTTAAATAATCTGCTCCTCCCCTTTCTGCCATAAGTAACGTGTAACGCACATCTGAGCGATGAGTCGAAGTGGGTGAGGGCAAGTTAAAAAGAGCATTGAAACAAGGCCTTTGGTCAGACTTGCTGTTGCCAGCTGGAGTGTCCTTTTCAGTAATGTAAGTATGTGAAGTAAGTCTTTACATTTTGACTTGATGTGCAGACTTGCCATTCCCAGTACAGACATTCTGAAGGCTACATTTGAACTCTTGCTTGCTTGTAGGACACGGTGTTACAGTCTGCAACTGTCTGCAGGTACAGGTGGATGTGGTTACTGAATATGATCCTAGTTCTAGTTTGCCCCAGCTTGTCCAGGTCAGAACTGCTGAAGTGACCACTGTGAGCTGGTTTGTGATTTGGTGGCTGACTGATTTAGCAGCCTGAAGGCACGTGCAAATCTGTTTAACTGGGGCTGTGCTCAGCCTTTAGAACTACCCACTCTTAATAATCCTCACAGCCTCACTTTAAGCAAAACAGGGCAAGACTTGTGAGGTTTTATAAAGTTTCTCTTTATAGCCTTTCTTACTGTTTTTGTTGTTGTTGTTGTTGTTGTTGTTTCTGAGTGCTAAGGTAGACGGTGATATTAGATGAGGTTTCTTTCAGCAGACAGAAGGGCATTTGATTCTTAGGTGTTCTCGGTCTGATGTGCTAGATTTGGAAAACACCTCGACGTCAGTGCACCATCTGGTGTTGATTAGGAAGCCAATGCTTCTGTGATCTTGCAAGTTGATGCATGAGCTCTGCTTGTACAGTAAGGTGGGAGGAGGTATTATATGATGTGGTTGGTTCATATTTTTTTGTCCCACCTGCTGGTGCTCAGTGACATAATCAAAAATCAGAAGACATTTTAGAGGCGTGGCAGAAGGCATTACATTTTGACGGAAGTTTGCAGGGAACAGGAATTTTGTTTTTTAAACGATAAGCTATGATGAATCATATTCGACATGACCAGAGACACAAATTAACTAGGTAAAAAGTCTATTTTGATTTCAGATTGACTTTAAAAGCACATGCTTTAATGAAGTTACATCTTAACAGAATACTTTACATAACCAGGATACCAAAAAAAAGGTAACTGTATTCCGTTACAGTTACAGAACAAAAAGACTGTAATCAAATTACAATTGGGTCATTCTCCATTTGGAGTGGGAATTCAGGTGGATACCTTTTTAAAAAATATTTTTTTTTCATCCCAAAATTAAATCTTATTGTCCATTTAACATCTCCTATTATCATGTATGCAAAAAGGAAAGCTTCATTCCAAACATATTTTACATTTTTTTGGAGCCATTAAAGCACATACCACCAGTGACGCATAGAAGTTATGTGCTGCCTGATAAACAAAATTATTAATAAATTAATAAAATATAGTGAGTAAGGACAGACGGCGAGTCCTTGAGATGCTTCCTCTCTGATGAGCCTCGAGTTTAATTAGGCTGAAAATACTGTGTTAAAATGTAATATAAGAGTCCTGATAACACCAGTGACCAAAATCTGTAACAAATAAATTGTTAAAATAAAATACATATTTTTAAAGTGTAGTATAACATTAATGATATAAAAAAGTAAACATAAATCTGTTTTATATTAAAAATGGTTACTGTGACGAGCTGTATATGCAGAGCGAATATGAGCCAATCAGAGAAATCGTAATGGAAAAGTATTATTTAATCTTAGGTCGACTGTGTAAATGTACATACTGACTTTTGGAGCTGTGCCTAATATTTTTAAGCATTTTTTAAGCTCTGCTACCTTTGTGACATGATTTCCTGCTCCAAATGGAGAATGACCCAGGTAAATAACAAAAATAGGGTGATTACTAGCAGAACTATATTGAAACTACTTTTATCATAGTTATTTTTTCGCCTGTGTTTCGGGTCTCAGAGCTAAATTGTGTGCTAAATGCAGACTGAGGGTTTATCGCTCACCGTGGTGTGGCGGGTGAAGGGATGCAGCGCACTGTAGCTCTGCTAAAGGGATAGATTTACCTCACACACAATCTAATGACAAACAGCATGTTTAATATGGTATCGATGTTAACTTATAGCTGATAGATCCATGTTGGACTAAATATAGCATATTTATGCAGTAAATTGTACTTTTTGTCCACAGTTTCTTTCCCTGCTGTTACGACTGCCAGTCATGGTCTGTGTACTTGTTAAAACGGTGTAAGTTAGACATTTAAATTCGAGTTTGGATGAGAAGCTGTCATTCCTGTGAGTGCAGTTTTAAGGATTGGTCATGTCACAGGACAATGGGAATGTAAGGCTCCAGTATTTCATTTTAATATTCTAAACACAGACTAACTAAACCAGAGGTCGGTAACCCAAATGTTAAGAAGAGCCATTTTGTCCTTTCAATAATAATCAAACCACCTTTTACCTTTTACAGTCTTGGCTGTAAATATGTCTCAGTGTGTGCTAATATCCTTGTATTGGCTAAAAAAATATTATATAAATGAAAGCTTGCTTTGCTCTGCTTTAAGCTTTAGCTCAGCTAAAGCCGCTTTTCTCACATCTCCAGCAGGAAACTTTTCCGCAAAAGTAGAATAGTTTCTTGTAAAATGTCCCTCAATGTTCGGTTTTTCCGAGACTGAAGTCAGGTTCTCGTTTGCCAGCTTCTTGTGTTGAATTTTCCTGTTGCAATTTAAATGGTTGCCTGAGGTGCCAGAATGTAACTGCTACACCATTTAAGGTGGAACGGGAACAAGAAGCTTCAGCTTTGAGACTTTTTAGTGTTTGACAGTTTCTTGTTTGCAGATTAAACATATCAGGAAACCAGCTGGAGTGATTATAAACACAAATAAGTCCATTCGTCTGCAAATTATCAATGGTTGTCGTAAATCTTTCTCTTTGCCAATTTGTTAGCTGCTTGCTAGGCGAGATTGTTGTCTCTGTTGCTATAGTGACAGCATTCTGTGCGCCAAACTTCAGGGTTAAAGGGTAATTTAAGCATTTATTGTTAAAACTGTTTTAGAATGATCAGCAGAGCTTTATTTTACTGCAAAGGTTTAGATTAGATTTTTTTTTTACCTAAAAATCTAAATCTGCTGTGGAGCCACAACAGGGCAGTAAAAGACCCGCATGTTGCTGACCACTGAGCTAAACTAACCCGTATTGTTTCTGTGCATTTCTTTTGTTTGGAAGTTGTCCTGCATTAGTTGTTCCTCTACAGCTTGATTTTGTTTCTTCAGTGGTACACTGCACTAGCTGCACTGGCTCCTGACACTATAGTTAGCTATTTTGCTATGTCAGCAAAACACTTAATAATTTCCTGCCGACCTGAGTGAGGTCTGTTAGAGTTCAGAAAACTTTGTGGAACATTGTGGAGTCTCCAGGCCTGTAAGAGAACCAGTGATTCATGGCTTTTAAGTGAAAACAGACAACTTGTCATTGTTGCCCCTTTATGCCTCTCATCTCTCCTGTAGTTATATCACCTGAAATAGAGCGTGGCCATGAGTGACATCTTTTACAAAGTACATACCATTCTACTTCAGAATGGTAAGACTTTTTTAAATGTAGTTAAATTGCTTTCAAACACAGGCTCAAGTGTTCAGCCACAGACCTGTCTTAGCACCAGAAGACAATTCCAAAGATGACAAAGACGTAGGAGAGATAGCAGGAAATACAGAGACCTGCGACTCAATAATATTCTTAAAATAGCTTCTTTCACCAGCCAGTCAGCCCACAAATCTGCAAAGTACGTTATTTCCTGTGTTTATGGTTCAGGTGTTTGTTTGTAGTTCACCTGATAGACAGGTGACCGCAGTCTAATCACCAATAACAAAAGTGGACATCAATTAATTACAAATACATTACGACAATGGCTGCTTCATAAATCGTGTTTTTAACACTATGGTGATATGAGTTTCTGCGATAAACACATTGTTAAGGGTCGTGATGATAAAACTGTTCGAATTACCTCATTTGCAGTACCAAAGTGGGGTAATTAGGATGAGGAAAGCAACATTAGGGGCCCAACAGGTACCTCCCTGTGCTGGGCTTGAATCCGGCTTTCCCACATACGGAACTTTACCAGCTAAATCGCCAGTACTAGCCTTTAAAAATGCTTAATATGTGATTACTATTCTTACTTGCGGTGCTGTGTGTAACATGCAGAGACTGTATGGAAGCTATAACAGCTACTGTCACAACAAACCTGCATCATCATAGGGAGCTTTTTAAGTAATTAAAGGTGTAATTATTAGTTTTTGTAGGCTTACATTGAAATAAAAAATATATATATATCAGGAAAAGCTGGCTGTTTTTAGACTCAATGGAATTGACTCACATTTCACAGCTACAAATTTTCCACAAGGTGTTCAGTGCTTAACAGTGAGGTAATTACCTGAAGCATGCTGATCAGCTGGCTGTGGCTGTAATCTTCCTCTGGCTGCAGCCTGGGGACAGTAGTGATGCCACAAGAAGACCAGAAAAATAATCTCACATGGCTTATGTGTGTGTTTGTCTTGCTATACTTGTGAGGATCAAATGTTCTCAGTGACAGGACAACATGACACTTTTGCTCAAGTAAGGACGTGCTGGCTGTTGTTTTCTCCACAAATTGCATCTTTTGGGGAAAAATCTAAAAGAGCAGAAAAATTGCCTTTTTGGATACTGAGATTAAGGTTAGGGTTATGTTTTGGTATAGATGTAGTTTTATTTGACTACAGTAATACAAAAATCAATAGAAACCTATGGAAGTCCTCACAAACATAGCAAGACAAAATGCTAAATTTCTGTGCAACATCAGTGCTGCCACCTAAGAAGATGACCCACAGCACTACATTCATTTCAGTCATTTTTTTTCCCCTTGTTTTGTCTTGTTTTTTTTTTTCCCTTCTCTGCGGTTAACCACATATCTGTTTATGAACTGTGCAATAAAACAAAAAGAGAAAAAACGAATCTGATTTTAATTATCCAAGGATTATGGGCTAAACTGTATTACACTGGATTTTAAGTATCACAGTCTCATACAGCTGTGTACCCCCAAAACTGTGGAAAAAACATATTTCATAAGGGTAAACCTAATGGACTGACATGTCTTCATTGATTTTTGTGGCCACATTGCCAGGATTCAAACTCACAATTTCACTATTGAACTGTATAACAGCAGTACAGACTGGACCAGAGAGTCTGTTTGGGGGAAAAAAAAACTATCATGATAAAGATAACAAACACATTAAAATGTATCTTCACCTAACATTTAGCATGAGAATAACATAATACAAAAATCCTTTTTATGAAGAGGACTAATGAAAATGAAAGCTTATTAACTGAAACAAAACTGCAAAATATTCTAAAATTATTTTGAATAATATATTCGATTCATGTGACTGGGGTAACACAGTAGTGGAATATAGACCTTTTCTGGCCAAAAACTGAGTGCAAACATATTTGAATATTATTTAAGAAATATTGTAAGTGATTATAAAAACTTCTGACGTTCTAGCATCGATAGCCTGATTCATCATGTCCATAAATGCATTTTCATATTATTGAACATTTGGTTAGACACCGAAGCCCCTTCAAGACCCTGCAAGTTGTGAGTGACATTACTTTCCAAGATATTTCTGAATCATAAATTCTGCATTAGGAATGGTTCTCTCGTGAGAATCTCAATGTAAACTACTGCAGTGCTGGATTTAGTCTAATCCAGGTCTTAGAACATGGCCTTAAATGTTTAACTAATCCAGTGGTCTAACTGGATATAATTAACACAACTGCAAGACTCAAGTAGCTCAGTTCAGTTTAGTTGATATAGTTCCAGAACATGTATAGCAGGCTTTTCAGAAATGTGGGTACAGCCCCCAAATGGGTACCAATACAGTGTCTCCCTAGGAATGAGAGGTAGAACCGCTGAGAGGAACCATGACTCAGAAATGAGAAACTCACTAAGAGCATGAGGAAGAACTGCTGAAAGGCACCAAGACTCAAAAAGGAGAAACTCTCTAAGAACATGAGGAAGAACCACTGAGAATAACCAAGACTCAGACTTGAGAAACTCTAAAAACGCAAGAAAGAACTGCTGAGGGGAGCTGAAGACTGAAGATGTAAAACTAAAAATATGAAGAAGTTTTTTTTAGCAGTATAACCTTGTGTTCTCTATTAGATCCAGTGTTTATAAGTCAGTTCTCACGAATAAAATAACCACAGGGTCGTGATGTGGCAGAATTCACTGCATTCTTGTTCCCTAACAGACTGACTCTTTGAGCACATCTGGACATAGTTGCAGAACTCATGACAGCTAAAACTTGGTGGAGACTCTCAGCATTACTGGATGTCTGCATGTATATAACCCCACTGACTTGCTGCTCTCTGAATAGGGCTGACTTGTCCAAGCCAAAATGCCTTTCATTCATGTGTGTGATGTGTTTCAGGTGCAGAATGTCTTACAGTTCACCAAGCAGAAGGAGGGGATTGAGCTCAAAGCCCTGCTGACCAACCCACACGTTCAGGTACGCACTTCGCTTGCAAGTTTTTAGTGAACACAGTCATCCTGCGTGTAGTTTACCATCTGCATGAGGTGCATACAGCTGGGATTTTGCTGATAAAAGCATGACATCGGTACACACAGAGAACTGTGTTCTCTGGAAGGATGGAGCTCCATCCAATACCTCTGGGAAGAGTTGGAGTGTCCAGAATTAAACATCCAGCATCAGTACCTGACCTTCACTCTTCCAAATGAACACAGTCTTGTCCTCCTTTTTTCAAAGTTGAAGGTGCTCTTGTTCAAAAGTTTGTAGACACCTGCTCTTCCAGCATTTCTTCTAAAATGAAGGGTATTATTAGTGAGTTTGTCCGTCTGCTGCAGTTACTTTTTTGGGAAGGCTTTATGCTAGATGTTGGAACGTTGCTGTGAGGATTTGATTGAGCATTAGTGAGGTCAAGTACTGATGTTCGATGGTCAGTTCTGGACACTTCAACTCATCCCAGAGGTGTTGGATGGAGCTTCATCACTCCAGAGAACACAGTTCTACTGATTCACAGCCCAGTGGTGGGGCACAGTGACCTTAGGCTCATGTGTAGCTGCTCAAGAGCCTCCCATTTTGTTGTTTATTGCCTTTATTTGGATATCGTACACCCTTAAAAATGGTTCTTCAAGAGTTCTTTAGTAAAGGGAATTGTTCTGCTTAAAACCACAAGTTCTTTATATGAAATGCTTCTTTGCTTGGTGAACCTTTTGAAAAATGGTTCTATACAGCACAAAAAAGGTTCTTCTACTGTTACAATGCCAAGCTTGGGTTGTTTAGTAAAGACACTTATTCTGTGTAGAACCACCAGCTCCATATAGAGCCATTTTAAATGCTTAAATAGTTCTTCTAATTCTAATTAATGGAGAATGTGTTGTATATGGTTCTATATAGAACCTGTTTGAAAAAGGTTTGGTATAGCACCAAAAACTGTTCTTCTGTTGTTACGATGTCAAGCTAACAATAGCAGGACCCTTTTTGGCGCTACGGATAACCATATACAACACATTCTCTATCAAACTAAAGAACAATTTCACCATGCAAAGAACAATTTAAGCATGAAATGGTTCTATATAGAACTTGTTCTATAGAGAACCATTCCCTTTACCAAAAAACACATGAAGAACCATCTTTTTAAAGAATGTACCAGCTTTGTGAACGCATGTGTCAACAATGGGTGCAGGTTAAAGTAGATGAACTGAGAGAACGGCAACTTTTGGACATTTAGTGTAGATCTTTCTAGATAGATAGATAGATATAGATAGATAGATAGATAGATAGAACTTTATTGATCTTGAAGGCAAATTGTTACAGTAGCAAGACATATAATTGCACATAGATTTACATTTATTAGGCAGAAATAAAAATAGAAATAAAAACAGATATAAATTAGGCTGAAATGAAAAAACAGACATAAGTTAGAGTAAAGTATGAGAGTAGGAATAAAAATATATCTATTTGCATATTTACGCAGCATATAAGACAGATTTGTTGTACTTACATGAGAGCAGGTATTGAGGTAGTTACAGCACAATGAGTATAAACATAACTAGGAGTAACAGTGTTTACAGTGTAAAGTGCTCAGTGACAGTGTCATTACAGTAGGAAGTATGTTGCACAATATGTATTAAGAAGAGAGATGATACAGTGATGTGGTTCAGCACAGGTCAGGCAGCAGGAGTTCAGTACCGTCTCTGCAGTAACAAGACTCGTAGTAGAGCCTTATTGCAGTGATCTTTCTAGGAAACAGAACAGAACTGGCGATCTGTTGAATTAAAACCAGTTACGCTGACTTCACACAGCGTGTGTTCCTGCACGTATTGTCAGGTATAAGACATCACCATGAACCCAGTGCCAAACTGTCGCGTCGGTGGGAAATTGGCTTAGCGAGCCTGAGTCTGAGAACCTCCTACAGATCAGGCTGAGGTGAACAGGAACTGTCATTGTTTCACCAAGTTGTCTAATCCAGTCTTCCTGGGAGCCAATCCAAGTGTCAGGAGGAATGTAAACATTTACAAGAGAATGACTGAGGTGTTGTTAATTGGACATTCCTTGAACATTCTCTTAATTGTAGTTGGAGACTTGAAAAAGTCATTTTTATATTTCTAATGTTGTACACTGCTAGCACTCTGCTGGCTACATGGCTTAAATGGCAGAGGCCCCATTTCACCAAGAGACAGTAGAAAGTTCTAGGCCAAAATAAAAACAGGAACTATTTCTATATCTGTCCTAAACATGCTCACATGCAACAGTGGTTCTGCAGTGGTTTGTATAGTGCGATTTTTCCGGTTTAAAGACAAGGATTTTTTTTGTCATCTTGAAGGTGAGAGGATTGTTTGAAAACCTACAGCTGCTTTGGGGAGGATTTTTGAGGGCAAGCTTTTCTAAAACTTTTTTTTCATTAGCTAGAAGGAACCCTGATAGCTAATGTTGCCGCTGCGAAGCCAAACATGTTATTGCAGCCATATAACTGTTGTAACTGTCTTCAAATCATCATTATAATAGAGAGAATGGATAACACAAACAATAGAATTGACATGTCAGATAAGGAGGAAGCTAAAAAGTAAATTTAGCATGGTACCTGACTATCTAGATATTTTACCTCAGTTCGACTTCTTTTCTCTGGCTGAATGGGTGAAAAACACGTCTCTGGCATCCATTTAATGCTAAATAATGAAAGAATCATTGTTTTCTTTTTTGTTCTGTGACTGTGGTACGAGTTACATTAACGGATTTGTATTTATTAGCATATAAATCCGTGGCTATGCTAGCAGTACAACTGGGGGACACCGCAGGGATTCCCAATGGTTGTATGATAAATCTGTATAATGTATGCTGGATATTGTAGTGAGAGAATATGAATGAATAATGATAATATAAAATTGCAAATTTTGTCAAACCGTTGAGGCCTAGGAACACAGTACTGCATAACATAACAAATATCACAAACTTTAAAATATAGATGGACTGAAACTGCTAACAATGCATAGAATACATAAAAGATAACAGTGAACAAACCACAATCCTTTGAAGTGCTGCAGTGCTTCCTTTTAACCCTTGAAAGTGCTCTTTAACTCTAGTTTCATTATCTGTCCATGATCTTTTCTGACATTTTGAGAGCTTTTGTCACCAGTGACCTGTGAACAGGCTGATCGGTGCAGGGGTCACTCAGTGTCCAGCTGTCTACCAACGCTTACCTGCTGGATTACTGGCAAATGTCTGGACAGCATTGGCAAAGTGGGGCTAATGTGCCCTAAGCACCTCCAGCAGGAATGATGGTATTAAGAGACCAAAGCCCAGCCTGGTGGTGTCCAGATTGGCTTAGTAGGAGAAGTGTAAAGGTGAAGATGGGGATTTCACTGATAAGACAAAAGATTTCATTAGTGATATTTATGATTACACTATTTGCAGTTAGCTGGCTTTCCATCCAGGTAATTAAATGCGCGTTTTGACGTATCAATTAAGAAACACGTGAAGGAATTGTCAGATGTTGAATAGAATGCATGAGTTTGTACACTCGCTTGATATATTTTTTCTGATAAAAAAGAAATGTGATAAATTGTGATGGAAACACATTTACTGAATAAATGATATAAATCGCTACTGTCAGAACAAAATCACAACTTTACAGGAGAAGGAAAAAGCACACTTTACTTTTAATGTAAGTCAATGTAACCAGACTTTTTGCCAAGTCATTTTGGCCCATTTCTGTATGTCCATTTATCATGAAATTTATACACAACGTAAAGGGCCACAGGCATTTTTAAATGATGTCAAAAACTGAAAAACGACAGAAATGGAGATAGGAGGGTTTGTTCCAACAATAGCCAAATGTAAATAGAATTAAGTTTCTGTTTTTGTTCACGTTAGCTACAAAATATTACTGAAGGCAGCAGGATGGCAAAACCTTTATCACAGGGGTGCACAACTTTGGTCTTGGAGGGCCAGTGTCCAGCACATTTTGGTGAGTTACCCACTCAATTACACCTGATTTAAACTTGTAGGTTTATTGGCAGGTTTAGTGGGTGTGTCTGGGTAGGGAAACCTCTGAACTGTGCTGGACACTGGCCCTCCAGGACCGGAGTTTCCATTCTGTCTTTACGATATAAAATACAAAATTGAGCAAAACGGCAATGAGAAGCTGCATGATCTTAAACATTTCTCTGTAAAATTACTCCGTATTTCTTCATATTAAAAATAAGTGTTTTTATGTGTGTAACTGTAAGGAATTTTGTTCTGTTGTACAGAGCTGATGGATAAGTCGTAAAACCTTTATTGTAGTAAACACCACATAAAGGCATGAATTACCCACGTTTTTTTAAAGTGTTTGAAAATGTCAGCTTTAAATCCTTTTTTATTTTGAAAGGCAAACCGTTCAAGCTATTTTACGTTACATTAAAATACACAACCAGACACTTTATTAAGAACACCTTTAAATCTGCTCGGTCATTCACTTATCCAATGAGCTGCACCATGTTTCAGTAGCACAGCGCATAAAGACGCAGCGCAAGAGTTTCAGTGAATGTTCACATCAAACATCAGAATGGGGAAAAACGTTATTATAGTGACTTTGACCATAGTATGATTGTTGGTGGTTTGAGTAGTCTCTAGTGGGCAGAACATCCAGTGGGCAGCAGTTCTGTGGGCAGAAACACCTTGTTGATGAAAGAGGTCAGTCTAGAATGGCTAGACTCTTCCCAAGTCAAGCTGACAGGAAGACTACAGTAACTAACCACCCTTTGTAAACAGTGGTGATCAGAGGAGCATCTCTAAACACACAAAACCTCAAACCTTGAAGTGGATGGGCTAGAACAGCAGAAGACAACATTCTGTTTTTGTCAGCTGCAGTGGGCACAGGCTCAGCCAAACTAGACAGCTGAAAACCTGAAAAAACTTCACCTGGTCTGATGAATCCCAATTTCTGCCATGACATGCAGATGGTTGGGTCAGAATTATGTTCCGTGGACATCCTTTTCTTGACAGCT